CAGTCCTTTAATGAATGGGTGTCATCCATTAAGTAATAATGTAAATAAGGCATTGAAGGGCAAACTACACGGCCACGAGGACTAAGGATGGCAACATTCTGCCAGTAAGGAGATGCTGCTTAAGAGGCCAACTTGCTGTGCCAGGAATCCATTTTCTTTTATATGGGAAGATACAAAATGCAGACATTTTTACAGGATATTATGGGTCATTTTTACAGGATATTACTGTGATAACATTGTATAATCACGATCACTGTATATATAGTCATGATTTCGCCTGATTACATGATATGAAGTTAAAGCACCGCTCACCAGAAAAAACAGTTCCAAGTTGTACTTATGGATGATCGAGAGATGTTTAACTGATGGGCATCTGGAGATGCAAAATACGAGGGCCAGATGTTAAAACCAAACCAGCCACATCTGGAACTTTGTTCTAAACTCTGTTTTGCTTGGATTGTTTTAAATGGCCAGTTAAGATGCAGAAATATGTTAAATGTGAAACATGTCTTTGAAAATCAAAACATACATTGTAAAGTAATTATTGTTTAACCACCTGCACCCAACAACCAATAAGAATATAGCTTTTTTTAAAAGATAGGTTTATCCCATGCTGAAAAGAGAAGAGAGAAAACACAATGTTTCGGCTGTGAAGCCTTCTTCAGGTGTGTGTTTCCTCTTTTCTTTTCAGCATGGAATAAACCTATTACTTGTTCCTTTGCAGCCTACGCATGCTGACGCAGCTACCCACCTGAACTACTTTTTTTTTAAAGATGCCCGTTAAAATTGGCTGATTAATATCAAAGAACATATCACATGTTGAACTGGTAGCTGGGGGCAGATAATCCTTTAGTGAATGATTTAAGGAATCTAAAGCTGGATTGATCATTTCATTGTGAAAATGAAAAAAAAATACTATTTTTTAAAAATTGGAAAATGAAGAAAGTCAGCCTCAAAAGGCCTGAAGCCTACAGGACAGCTCTTGAAAAGTACTGAATTATTCCATTTTTGTGCATGACCAGTAACTAGCTAGAAATGGATGGGTAGGTTTTTTGCAGCCTGCTGATGGAACATGTTTGACTGTCAGATTTATTTTAACCTTATTAGATGTTATTTAATGAAGTGGTCAAAATGCACATAGTACATTCTCCATTTTGAGGTTATGTTGAAGTTTGTTATTTGAAGTTATAAATAATAGAAATTGCAACCCTATTTTTTGTTCAATTTGTCCATGGAATGCAGCCACAAAACTTTTTTTACTTAAATAATTGAAAATACCACAATTGTACCTCATCTTTCACAATTTTTCACGTAGACAGTCTGCGTTTAGTGTTTTGTAGATTTGATTAAAGATTTAGTTTCTAGTGCCAGAGAGTTTTTTTGGGCAAATAAAAATTCCTATTTAAATTTCAGTGAACTAAAAGCAGGGCAAGTGCTCTTGACAAATAAAGGCCTTATTAATAAACTATTCACCCCATTGATTTCTGCTGTAGCTGTGTGCAGTGCAATAACAGTGCCACTCCTATTTTGTTTTTGTTTTTTCCAGCATTTAAAGCAGTTGCATCTAAAAAAGCGCAAAAGCTCAGTTCGTTTTATGCGGGACCTGCATACGAAAGCTGGGGAAATGAAGCTGTTTTTTTAATGCATGTTAAAATATGACGCTACAAGTTTGAAAAACAAACAAGCCCTGCACGGACAGAGTCAGGGAGGGATGACGGGGCTGACCCGTGCACACGAAGCCCGGCGGGTGTTTGGGCAGAACGATCGCACTGGTCACCGCAGTGAGAAGCGCCGACAGGGTCACGACTCTGACGCCACGGATCAGCTGTGGGGCTTCAGCTCGAGGCACGATGAAGTTCCGAAGGGCGGCGGGCTGCCGGGAAGCAGGTTGTGTGATTGCTCACTTGCCCCGCCTGCGCGCCGCGAGGGTCGGAGACTTCCTGCAGACAGCAGGCCCGGGGCTGCGCTCGGCCGGGCTGCGGAGTGTGGGAGGCCCGCAGAGCCCCCGGGGCTGATTTCTGAGCCTGGAGCTCTGCCAAGCTCCTCTCCACGGGGCCTCGCTCCGCGCTGCCCCCTCGGTTCCACTCGGGCGAGCGCGGCAGCTGATTTTTATTTGTTCCCAGCCCTGACGCGGGCATGTCAGGCTCTCCCGCGCCGCGGAGCAGTGGAGGGATCATTAGGAGATCACTCTTTCTTCACATGGCTGCAGGGGCAGTCACTTCCTATCAGCCAACTGTTCGCTTTTATAAATAGCACTCGAGCGCCACAGGAAACGCACTGGGTGAAGATGCATGCAAAGCTTTAAACCCTCTGTCACACAATTCTTCAGCCATTCTAAAGGAAGATGAACTAGGGTCTGGTGACAAACGTTTCAACGTCTTTCCCCATCAGTCTCAAGCAAAGAAGACATGCACAGTGACAGGAGTTTTTAGATGTGGTGCGGTTAAGTGCAAGGTCATGGTCAGCTACTGCTGACCTTATGGATGAGGACTTGGCTTTAATTGTGCATTCATCTGAAAGAAAGGCTGGTGACTGTATGAAATGAAAGGACAGCAAACTGGCTTCACACAAGTCAAACTGTAAACAGGGAATGATTTCCCAGAAGATACCAGATTAAGTTGTCTCTACCCCTACTCGGCAGTATTCGTAAAATAAAATCTGTAACTCTGTACCCTATGCATTATCGGTATATGGTGAGTCAGTCTACAACAGGGAAACAAATCTTAGCTGAGGAATGTAAGTGTGGACTTTACATGTGTGATTCTTTGAGCTTTCCAATTTCTGTCTGCATTCGCAAGAGTAGGACTGTGTAAGCAATGGTAGACAGAGTAACTACCTGTGCTTAAAGCTGTGAGCCTTGTGTGAAAAGCATAAAAATCTCCAGTTCATCACCACAGTTGGGCAGATTTTTATCCAGGATCTACTTATGTCTGAGTTACTAGCATACAGAGAATGGGCAATTAAAACGTCTATAGGATAGAACAGTAAACCAAGCTGTGTATCGTGGTTCAGCTGCCAGCACTGTGCATTACTGTCAGATGGCATCAGGGAAGCCGAAGACAACTACCACAATTTGAAGATTTGAACGTGCACACAGTGCTTTGTGTGCATTCTGTGCATGACTGAGCAATTTAAATCTGCCTTTGGTAGTATGCACCCCTTATACAGCACACACCCTTAGATAAAATGCGTCATAAAGCATACCATGAGGGGCAGAACTCCTTATTTATTTTCATGTATGAAAACTCTTGTCTAAATAACACTTGTGTATAAGGCACATCCTGTGCACAGAATGCTTAAATTCCTGTAAAATGGAAAAGGACGCACATTCAAATCTTCAAATTATGATTTTGTAGTACATCAGTATTTTGCATGTGCTTCTTTATGACACCTGTCACTTGTTTTCCAAACAGCCTTGAATACACACAGAAATTTGAACACTCTTATTTTGTGTCAGTAGTCTCACAGCAGGTGACACAGTGAGACGTCGGCACTGCCACCTCACAGCTCGTGGGTCTTTCGTTCTTTTCCAGCCTGCAGCATTCACTGTGTGGAGTTCTCCCCCCGTATGTCTTGGTTTTCACCAAGTATTCTAGTTTCCTGCCCCCTTCCAAAGTCACGCTGGCTAGGTAAATTGGTGTCTCGCAATTGTCCCTGTGTGTGTGTGTGAGAGCACATGCGCTGCATGATGGATTGGCTTTATGTCCAGGCTGTATTTTCACCTTGTGTCATATGCTTCAAGCGTAAGGTTTGTTTGCCTTGACCCTTATCAGGAATGGATGCGTGATAACATGGCGAAGGTTATTTAATGGGCACTTACGTGTGACACAGTCATTTAGAGATAGAAACGGATTTTTAAGAACGAGACCAATGGTATCTACAAGCGAATCCCTGGTCGTATAGAATGGATTAAAAAACTTCACCTTGTAATCTTGCTCACCCTTTCCGCTACGCAAAGTACATGGGAAAAACAGGAAAAAGTGTTCCAGAGTTCAAAGCGGATTGCCTTCGTCAAATGGCACATGTGCGTGTGGGGGGCTGTTTTTTTTTTGTGTGTGTGTGTGTGTCTTTTCTCAAGTTGAAAGTCGACCGCCGCCCGCGTTGTTGTAGGGCGGACAAGGACGGAGAGGGAAGGGCCCGTTACCTGTGAGGAGGAACTGCGACTGCGAGAGGCAGAGCTGGCACGCTCCAGGATGAGCAGCGGCAGGCAGAATCCGAGACGCTTTCTTGCCTTCAGGGCTGAAAATAATTTCTCCTGGGATGTTTCGGCTCATGCTCTAATGCCTTCAAAAGAGCGAAGGCAAATCCGTGCTGCATGAAAGACAAGACTATAGCAGAGCTCTGGCTCATTCTCTCTCTGTGCCTGTCGGCCTGTCTGAGTAATGATGGGGTGTGATGTGGACCTTCATTTCCTGACACTAGCTCCTGAGTTGGAACGTGCCTGCTCTCTTTAATTCAAGAGCGGAGCTTGGCCGCTTTTCTCACTGAATCAAAAACCAGCCTGATTGCCTTCTAATAAAAGGGATCTGTCCCTTAAAGAATATCGCTTCATTTTCATTGTTGCAGCATATCTGAATGGGTAGTTTTCAGCAGAATTTGTTGTGCGCATATATGCAGTAGCCTTTTTGGATAACTGGCATATTGCATATGCTTTTTTTCCCTGGGACATTATTTAATTCCAAACAAAATGATGCTTTGGGATATCACAAGGAGACGCTCTGGATGTACATCTTTTGCACATAAAAGGATGGCTGGAAAATCAATCTGACAATCTGTGAAGACTGAAAAGGTATTTCAAGCAGAATCAGGCTTGTGCGCAGTTGCAAGAGTGCTTCAGCCACTGCCTCCACTAACGAGGATATTTCCTGTCAGTAATTTAACGATAAAAAGCACTAGGTGCAGCGTTTATGGAGCCCGTGTCATATTGTCTCATAAATGCATTCGCAGTTAATCTCCTCATCCTTTTTATACTGATTCTTTTCTCTTTTTTTTTGTTCCAGAAAGTACCATCTCGCTGCCTGGGGGGTGCCCTGCTTGATGTCGAGTCTTCCCCTTTTCGGAGGGTACTATGGCCCAGCTGGCGCTTGGTGGTAAGTATCTAATCATGGATTTTAATATCATGCTAATTCCTTTGGCCAAACGTATTTGCAGGATGCGATAAAAAGGGAGCTTCTGGCGCCAGTAGCAGGGATGCATTGAGGGTGAAAGCTGCTTTCCGGTGATGGAGAGCAGATTACTCCCAGCCCGTGGCCCAGCCTGCCTCGCTGCCCGTTGGGCTCGCTTAAGCAGGAGACGCAAGCAACGCCGTATCTGTACAGGGTGTTTACCTGCCTGTTTCTGTCACTCCCGCACAGGCCTGACAGAAGTAGCGCAGATCCTGATGAAAGCTGCCAGACCAGCTGTGAGACAATGTGGGTCCTTTGTCACCATCACTCTCTCAGTCCCCCAGACAACGGCGTTCCCACTCAGGAACGGAACGATTTGACTTTATGATTTGGAAGGGTTCTGTTTTCAAGCCAGTAAACAGAACAATAGGGTGAGGTTCATTACAGAAATGCCCGCTGAACGAGGCCTCGCAGCAGGAGAGTATGGTAAAAAAAAGAAGCTTTCGACAGTCTTCTCTCAGCTCTTACTGACAGTTGACGTCTCATCACATCTCACATGCTGTTGCCTGCTGTAATTGCGATTATCGAAAATTTCTAATGCAGGGCACTTCTTTCATTTCCACATTAGACGGCCTGACCAGTGGTTACTCTGCTTATAGCAGCTAAAGGCCCTTTGGAATGCCGCTGCTGTTGCACAGATTTGTGTTCTATTTAAGTTGTTTTTAAATCAATTGTGTGACTGTACCCTACTTCCTCTACGCTTTCCTTCTGCCTTTTTGTCCTCGTGCCATTTGCTGCTGTTGTCTTGGCTTCCTCGCGAATGAAAGATGGTGTCGAGCGTTGCCCCTCTGACCCAGCTGGCCTGTTCTCGTCTAGACAACAATCAGACCTCTGGAATTCTCCTCGAACCCCAGGTGGAAAGAGAGTAAAATAATTGACGCTCACTATTTGAGTAACGGAAGCCGGGGAGAGAGATTGCGGAGATCATAAACGCAGTCATATGGAGCAGTATAACGCAGTGCAGCTGGACGGGGATGTAGCCAGCAGGAAATTACTAGTTGCTGCCAGACTGAGGTGCCCTGGTACTGCCACTGTCGTGCCACTGCCTAGAATTGATAGGGTGCCAGTTGTTCCGTTTCTCTGCTCACCACGTGCCCCTGGCAAGTCCTATGAAATATAGGCAATCAACGCTAGCTGTCCCTTTGCTCGAGGCCTCAAGGACTTCCCTTGACAAACGACGGGCAGTGCTGGAACAGTACGCTTTGAAGCCGTGAACCAAATCTGTCCTGCTGCTGGGATGTACACGCCACTCCGCAGCCTACTCTGTCTAAGTCACATTGGGCTGAAATTATGGTGTCTCTGTCTCCGAGGTGCCTTTCGGAGCAGCAGCCTAAGCCGGCGCATCGTGAGGTGTGTGCGCTGAGCTGTGTCTCTGCACAGCCTCCGTTCTGGTTGCAGAGCTACTTGCTGCTGCAGAGGTCCTGAAGTGCTACACCCATCCCACGATATTACAACATCTTATTTTTGTGCAGTTTACATGCTTTTTTGTGCAGTTTATATGCTGTACTTCCCATGAGCAATCTTATACTCTTAGGCTGTCTGTCACAATGTCATCCAGAGATTCCATTCATCAGATGATGGGGGATATCCAGCAGGACACTGAAATTAGGGGACACTTCTCTGTCTTGTAAATTTGATCTTCAGCATTGGGGCTTTTTCACAGCCTTAGAAAAGTGCAGGTAGTTAGATCCATGGGTGCTGCACATACTGAAGATAGAGATTTTGTTGATAGGCAAATGAAATGATTTAATTTTTACCCACATTGCCATCAGCAATTCTCAGCATTGCATTTGTCACGACTGATCATATATTGTTATCTGTAGAAAATGACCCTCACCTTTCTCACATACTATTTCTGACGATTTTAGTGCTCAGCAAGCATATGAAACGATTTAGTTCATTTTTGAACAGGTAGACAAAGACTTAAACAGATGGACACGTTTTCCCTTGTGACATTTGAGTTTGTGTCTCCGTAACAGAAATAAATGCACTTCCTTGCTTGAATTGTATTAGTTCTACCATTATGCTTTTTCCTCCTTTATGATATTGGGATAGGTTAGACAGGTGAGTTTCCAAATCCACGTCCATGGAGAGGGAAGCAAGCAGATGTTACATTCTTCACACTGCAGTGTGAAAGATCAGCCCTTCAGATAAAGAGGCCTAGCTCTGCCAAAGTTTCATCTGTTATTTCTATTGGTCTGTTAGAGCTGTCTGTTTGATTTAATCCTGGTACGCTGGCATCATGTCACACACCTGAAGAAATTCTGGTTATTCCATGCAGGCTGTCCAGATTTCTGATTCTGTTGTTCCCCCTTACATATTGTTTAGGCCTCATAAACCCATGAAGACGTGATGTGTGGATGAAAGACAGATGTCTGGAAAACATGGCATCTCTCCTAACAGGAAACTCTTCTTTCTCAGCTATTTCTAATGAGGGTGATTAATTGCAGCTCAATCTGAGCTTCCTGTCTTCACCTTCTTTTTTTCCACGTAGGTCATCGTTCTGCAGTGCAGACGTGTGGTAGCTGCTGCAGGCGAATCTGCTGGACCTCAGGGCCAAAAGAAAGACCTTAGCTTCCACTCTCTATATTTAATCAAGTTAGAGGTTTCATACAAACCCTTAGAAGCCGCTTCTGTTTAAAACTGGAACTTGAATATCACCAACCTGTTTCCCGGGATCACGTGCTGTAAATTTTGCCCCTGAACAACCAAACCATTTAAGTCTTCACATTAACCTTAAGAAAATAAGAACAGTTAAAACTAGACCCATCTGGCCTGTTTATTAGCTATCAGTTAATTGATCTTTATTAATTGTCCATCTTTAACAACATGGCTGGGTAGTTTGTTCCATACTCCCACAACCCTTAGGGGAAAGACGTGCTTCCTATTCCCAGTCTCTTATGTTTCCATGCCTTTTCCCACTCTGCCCTCAGCAGCACTCAGCCAGTTGGTGTGGCGACCCAGTCACAGCCACAGTGCCATGGCTTGGGCTCGAACCCGTGACAGCCAGATCATCCAGCTCAACCTGCGCCTTTACCATTGGAACCCTAAAGAAGTCCCCAGAGATTAATTTTAAGTGCTAAGGGAAAATAGTAGGGCAGAAAGCATTTTAGGGTTAGGGTTAGGGTGCTGTAACCCACAAGACATTTTTAAACTTCTCCATTAATTGCTTGTAGGTCTAAATATCGAAAATCAGTGCTATATATGACTGCTTATGGCCAACTGGTTTAAGGTAGTTTTTTAATCTTCCTGAGTTCCTGGGCAAACAAATTCAAATAACAGGAAGGAAAGGCTTAGTAGAATAGATCTAGGATCTTCAAGAGGCCTGAGCTAAACTTGTGCTACAGAGTGTACCTCAGTGGTTTTTCATTTCCATCTCACCACACTGTTTGGATTGTTTCGGAGGTTCTTGTGACATGATCTCTTATAGCAGCGGGTTCCTGTTTGTCCCAGCCTTGAACATCCACAGTAGGAATGAAAACAAAGTTCTTGAGGAACACCACTGCCTGTGCTGCCTATACCACAGGTCATAGGCTCCTAGATCTGTCTGTACAAGTCTTGACTTCCTGAGCTATTGCTTTCAGGTTGGATTGATCACCACAGTACTAACAGGTGTGCAGTTAATACTATGTTCCGAGCAGGGTTGTGGGCCTGTAGATGTGCTAAAAATTTGACCGAAGCAAATGCATTAATAAGGGAAAATCTATCTAAGCATGGTTGTTGATTTAACATGTGGTTTATACAGCTAACTTTAAGCTTTACGAGGGGCCCTTTGGCAGCCACACGTTTCTCTGGATTCTTTGACAGTTTATGTGCTGTGTGATAGTGCACAATGAGCAAATAAAGTAGCTCACCTCCTTGCCTCACCACATTCACGGTGCATCAGTCACCTGTTTTTATAAATTATGGTAGAAAAATTTTATGCTTACACCAGAAAATCTCGATGAGGCTAAGTACAGCCAGCCTGCTCACCCTCCCCTCCTCTGAGAGAAGGCATGACTCCGAGGAGCCCTACTTTTTGACAAGAGGGCCGTCACTCTGGTGTATTAATAGCTTCAGCTGTGCCCTAATTCCCAGTATAGTAAAAGAATTCTTCTTTCTTTCCAGCTGGATTACAGACGATCACGTAGCCTGGAGATTTGGCATGTAAGTACACTCGAACCCTGGGATCAAAGCCCACAGCCCGCCTTGGGGAGCAGGGCTCAGTCCTCGAGGATGGTGGCGTGCCTTGAGAAAGCATCCCGCCGCTGTAAATACCTTCAGTTAGCGGGAGTGTCAGAGTGCAGCCACACAGATGAGATCAGCTCTAAGTGTGCGGAGTAAAGAATTCCTACATCTTGTTAGGTAATGGGAAAGAGGCCCAACGCTGGCGATCAGATCTGAGCCCTTTGTACTGGGGCTGGACTTCCAAGACATGGGCCATGTTGCTGAAAGAGTGTATTTACGAGCTTGTTTCTGTTCATTTGAAAAGTTGTGTTTACCTACAGGTGGATAGCTTGATCACGAACATGTCTGAAAAAAAGCCAGTATAGTTTAAAAGCGTGTTCCTGTGTGCGCTGGGAGCAAGCTGTTTCAGAAAGACATGTAAAGCTCAGTTGTCTGTGTACTGCCTCAATGTTTTGGGTTGCAAAAACTGTAGTGTTTCAGGCCAGTTTTGCACATCTGGTGCTTATTACAGTACAGTTGCATATTCACTGTGGGTTGATCTGGGTTGTTTCTGTCACTACTGATTTTAGCACTTCTTTTTTTTTTGGCAATAATGCCTTTCCAGGAAAGCTGTGGAGAATCTTTTAATAGAGATCCTGGTCTGTATCGAATGCTTTTGACGGACAAGTTCAGGAGACCACAATTAAACAAGTAAATTCTCCCTAAGAAGCCAAGTGTTGCCAGACTTCTAGAATATACCTCTGCTTTCATCGCTCCTATTGTGTGCTTTGCCATGGGCCGAATTTTTCCCTGTATGCCCTCACAAGTAGGTGGAACCATGGTTGTGCCAAGCTGTCAAAGTTATCCATCTTTAAGAGAAGAGGAGCTATGTGTCTTACCTTATGGACATCAAGGGTCTTAATGACGTAATTGCACCCGAACTGAAGCAGATTCTTCTTCAAAGCAAGTCTAGTTCCACGCATGACTGTATTTTAAATTCAGTAGGATTTGGACATTTTATTTTGGTGGAATATGTGGTTACAGCTCCTCTTTCAATCTACACTTATGTTATCTTCAAAAGGACCGGGTTTATATAAAACGTAAATATTCTCATCTTTTTTGTATAGTGGAAAACATACTAAATATTTTATTACTCACACAGAGAGAAACAAGTGTATTGTAACTCCAGTCCCAGTGGTTGGAACTCTGAGAGAGAAAACGAAATACCTTTCGGGGCCCTTGTGTTTTTCTTTTCTTCGTGCTTTTTTTTTCTTGTCCTGAATGTTGTGTGTTGCTCAGCATTCCACTGGGAGAACTATACGTCTGTGGTCTGAGAAAAGGAAGATGTGTGTGAATTGACCTTAGCTTAGAATGCATTTGCCAGTATAGCAGCTTAACACTGTCTGCTGCCCACTTCTCTCTCTCTGGAGGCCTGTGTGGAAAAGGCGCAGGAAAGACATTGCTTTTCCTCTCTGAGTTTCTTCATCCTTTAGGTTTCTCAGTGTGTGAAGGGCAATGTATGAAAAAAAACAGAAACACTCCCCATTTTTCTCCTAAAGTTGTCACAATTGAGGAAAAGGCATTTGATAGCTAAGTGCACATGAAAAATGATGCCTGGATTGTGTGTATGTGTGTCCGCACATTTCTGTGAGAATATACACTATATATATTAAAGTGTCTTTGTAAAGGGCACAATTTGAAGTGAATCTTTTAAACACTGTATCCAAATAGTATTTAATTTGCCTGTTCTGGTAATAGTCTGCTTTCACATTTATCCCACATGATGATCGTTAGAGACTCCCTTTAAACATAACAAAATACTTACATATTTGTTAGGCCTTAGAAACCTAGAATCACAGAAGGTGAGTGGTGCTTTCAGAGGTCTCTGCTGTATCCATGAATAAGGGCACATGCATTTAGCAGCGACTTACAAAAGCAGTTGCCTTGGGACAATAAAGGCTCTAGTCTCTGATGGAAAGCCCCTTGCCCTTCTCCGATATTCAGCTTGTTGATGTGTGGCATGGCAGGCGTAAGCTCTATCCAGGAGCAGTACATCAGTCCCCGGTGACAGCGGAACCTCTCCTACACGCAGTCCCTGTTGTAGAAGGCTGTGGGAGTGGCTTCTGTTTCATATTGCTCCTTAACACTGTCAGTGTCGTTTGATCTGCCTAGCGGTGTTGCGCTGATCCACTGTGCTGTGGGAAGCAGGAACAAGACTAAGCCTAGAAGCAGGCGTGTTATTTCAATAGGACCACTGTGCTATGCACCATCACGAGAGGTGATGTTGCAATGTCAGATGCTGACGTTGGGACTGTATAAAAGCCACGTGGAATTTATTTCGCGGTTAAAAACAACCATCTTAAAATTAGCTGCATTGCCTGTTGAAATCACATATTATTGAATCTTCGTTTTGGTCGCAGTTGATCCAGAAAAATAAAGCCAATTAGCAGGTTTAAACAAATTCTCTTTTGTCTGTGTAAAACTTTCATTTACGTCAGCCGGGTCTTTGAAATTAATATACCCTCGCTCGTGTCTTCTGGACACGAATTAGTAGTAGAAGGAAGAAGGCAAAAAATCAAGCCTTACAGCTTGTGAAACGGGGGCAAAATTCACTCTTCAGCTGGGAGCGCGTAAAAGATTCCGCTGAGTTTAATTGAATCCAGCACTTCATTTTTCACGCCGCGGCCTTTCACGAGGAGCACAGCTCATCCCTTCTCTGTGCCAGTCTGGAAGGCCAGCGGACGATGAGAGAGCTTGGAGTGCAGCACAGCCTCAGCTGAGGGCTGCCAAGGGCTGCCAAAGGCGGGTGATCTGTGTGTTAACCTGACTGTGGGGGAGCGCTGTGGGGAGGGACGCAGACAGATGAGAGGCTTTGGAACAGCTTTCCCCCCCTGCCAGAGCAGCGTTCCCTGCCACATCAAAAGCCGCGGAATGTATTAGTGCCGGGCTCTGCGCTTGCCTGATTCCCACAGCCCCCTCCCTTGTAAGCTCTGTCACACTCTGCTGCTCGCAGTCCCATTGATCAGTCTGCCTCTGCCATTGCCAGGGTGTGATTGCATTGAGCTGGGGAAGTTTGCACCGCTACAGTAGGTGTGTTCGCCTCCCAGAGAAAAAAAAAGGGGGCCGTTGATCTCCATTAACCAAATTGCTCTTGACCAAGATTGGAGGGGGAAAAGTTTTCAGCCCCGTGCTATACACATTGGTGCAGCTACCTTTGTTGAGGAACAATAGAGTCTAATCCTGCGCTTTATTGCTTTGGAAGCCTTGCAGCTGTGCCCCTGGGTTTGAGCAAATATTAAAATCTGTCTGCCAAGTTGGCATTGTCTTTGTGGGCACCGACTGGAGCTGCTAGTTCCAAAGGAGTAGGCGTCATTTTCACTGTTAGTCTGGAGGCCTGGTGCAGATAAGCTGACAAGCGCATAATGAAGCAGTTGTTCTTTCTTAAGATAAATGCAGCCCGAATGTTTTTCAAAATGGAAAAGGGGAAAAGAAAAAAAATAATATTCACATCAAAGGGATGTATTTTCAGTGCGGTTAATAAGCAAATTCAAGTTTTACTTTTTTTCTCACCATGCGGTTTCACACAGAGGAAATAAGGTGAAGATCTCCCTTCTTTTTCTTTATTTTTTCGTTAGTTTCATTTTCAAGGACATCGATTTTATTTGTTCTGATTCTTTCAGCCCTTTTTGTTGTCCCCTCCTTTAAAATGAATGTCTCCTTTGCATAATCAGCTCTTTACCTTAAATAGACAGGATACATTCACTTGCTGTACATATCAGGCTTGTGAAGCCAGACCTAGTGTGCCTGTGGGTCCTGTAACGAGATTCTTTCAGCCTTATATTCACATTCAGTATGAATTTGTAACAATACTACATTGTAAATCTTTACCACTAAGTGACCCTTAACAGCTGAAGTATGATATTTCCTCACCACTTACGATAAACATATTCGAAGAGACGACACAGAGTAGATATATGATATGGAATTTTGGATTGGAACTTGTAGTGGTGTGCTTTTGTTTGATGCTGTTTTCTGAGTCTATTGGTACATTAGAAGAACAGTGTCTTTTTTTTCCGACATCCTCCGTCTCTATCTGCCTTCATTCCCCTGTCATTTGCAGGTGTAGTTCAGCAACATTTTTCTTCTTGGCATTCAATATGATTTCATTACCACTGGTGCACTAAATGTCTTGCAGCCTGATCAATGAGCTTTAGTAGCCTGCAGTCCTGTGGTCGTAGATTCTTTTTAAACAGCACTAGCTGTGTGCAGCTTCTGTTCCATGCAAGCTTGTTTGAGAGCTTAGTATAGATTCAATTTGGACAGTTTAGAAAAAAATTCCTTCTGTCTTATCGCTCTTTATAGTGAGTACCTCCATCTCCAGTCTGTCTTGATGAGCAATGGAGAACATCTGAGCTCCATTCGTTTAGAACTAATGTATTTCTCAGTTTTTAAACTCCTAATGCACTGGCTCCATTGCATATGTAATTGCTTCATCCTAATGAAGCGTGATTCAATCGTCCTTCGCCCTGATGTTCAATATAAGTTATCGAGCTTGAGTAGTTTTCAGTTGTTTTCCCCTCAAAATTTTAACATTCCCTCAATGTGGGCAAGTGCAAACACTCAAAAATGAAAAATGTATTTTATCCTTGTGCTTTATAAAACAAGACAAAGTTAGGAGTCCACCCATGTGAAGAAGTGTACACATCGCTACCCTTTTTAAAAGCAAACTCAAAATATAAGTTTTAACTAGCGGTGTATGTCTAGGTGACTTCTCATTTAATTGTAGTTGCTCAACAGATATTTTGGATATAGTTTAAAAACATTACAAGCCAACAGTTAGCACGGTTCTGAACAAAAAGATGCAGGTGGTATATCCCTAAATTTTTGCCAGATTGCAGAAAAGGACGTGAAGGTATTGGTGCCTGGGTCTGCTGGACACAGTTCTGCCGCCTGCCACTGAAAGGAATATTCCGCAGCGGCCTGCTGTTTCTGCTCCTTTT